TGGGTTGGTTTTGAACCGTGCTCTGTAAATCATCCAGGGGAACAAGTGGAGACATTTGCAAAGGGACGGTTCGTATTTAAGCTGCTACTGGCGCTGCACGGATGTGGACAGGTGTGATGGCATTGGGCGGATGGAGACCAAGATTCAATTTTCACTCAACGGACCTCGGATGCAGCCACTACCGCTCTGCCAGTGGGCTATGTGTTGGGGTGCTAACCCCAAGGTCACCAGTTCAAAACCACTAGCCGCTCGTCTGGAGGAAGGTGAGGCTGTCTACTACTATAAAGATTTACAGTCTCGGAAACCCACAGGGTCAGCTCTACACTGCCCTACAGGGCCACTCCATCGCCATCGAGCTGGTGGCAGGGAGCTGTATTTTTGGTTGAGGATTACTCAAGTAGCGCTTCCAGACCAGGTTGACCAGGAAGTAGGCTCTGTCGATATACTTGCAAAAACCAGCCAAAGAACCCCCTTTGGAAAAGAGCTGTCTGGTATTCACCCAATTGCAGGGCGGCTGTGCCTGGGGACCTCAGATGTTCCCTGTAAGAGGAAGAGGTAGGATGACAAACCAAGAGAAACACAAATAAACACCCCACCCCATTTTCCTGTACGGCAGATTCATGTCATTCTTGTGAGCGACACGTGGGCGGGGTAGTTGCCCGCCTGCAGATAGCGGCATGGCACCGACAGCTGCCTTGTGACAGGCACCTGTGAGCAGCCCCCTCGTGGGATCTGGTTCCCGGGTCTGCAGGGGCAGGGCAGGGTTTCGTGGGGTGTCCCTGTTCGTTGGCCTCAAAAGGCACTTCTGCTCTGCCTCCCCACTTGTTGTGCAGAATCAGGGGTCTCACCAGCTTGCGAGCTGCCCCCCAGGCACACCGTTGGTCTCTGTGCGCGGAGCAGCAGAGGGACTGGGGCCCGGGTGGGGGAGGGGAATGAGACGTAGAGCGTGTGCCTCGTCACCTTGCCTTGAGATTGGAACTGAGAGGAGCAAGCAGTCTCCACTTTCTCCCACAGAGCAGCTGGTGGGTCTGAACCGCTGACCTGGCTATCGGTTAGCCACCCAGTGCTCACCCCCCTGGAATTCTGGGTCCCTCAAAGTTCTGTTTGGGGCAGTCTGACTCCACAGGCCTGGCATGGGTTGTGTGCCCGCACTGGGTACAGCTGTCCAAAGAGCGGGCATACCCATCGCGGTTGCCACGATAACACCAGCCAGTGGCGGATGTCAGGGGTGAGAGGGGCAGAGTGACACTCCTGGAACGTTGCCAAGGCAACACTGTCGATTGGTGACACCACAGGGGCCAGGGCTGCTGGACAGGAGGCCTGACTCACACAGCCATATGCACCCCCCTCCATGGCAGCGCCACCTCACCCCTCCACAGACAGGGGCATATGCCCGCCCTCTCCCTGCCTGGCAGGGGACTGTGGGCCAGTCTCTGCTCCCCTGGGCCTCAGGCACCCACTCTCTAACCCCACCATCTCCACCGTGACTCAGCGCCTCTCTTCTCCCACCCTGTCCCAGAGGCCACCCTACCTACTTGGACCTCTGGGAGAGAAATGAGCCAGGCCCTTCCTGTGGTCTTGTCCCCTGTATGAGCTGAAAGGAGGGGGTCTCAGAGACCAGCAGGTGAGCCTTGCTCCTGCTGAAATACGGAACCAGAGCTCCTGAGAGCCTAGGGCGGGCCCCCCTCTCTCAGAGCCCTCCCTGCAGAAAAAGATGCCAGGGGCCTGGGTAGGCGGGCCTACAGGGTACTCTGGCCCAGGAGGCCTGTGTCTGGGGGCTGGCATTCCTGGCTCCCCAAACCTGCATCCCCCAGCTGGCAGCACAGGGGCGGCTGGCACTGCTTCCTGGGCTGTGGAAATAAAGGCCCAAGTGAATGGGTGGTGGTAGTGGTGGTGGGTGCTGCAAGATGCCAGCTGGAAGGAGGGGGACAGGCATCCAGACAGGGTGGCTGGAGCTGCCCCCACCCCTTGGGCCCCCAGGATCTCCCCGTGGTTTATGAGGTGGGGCGCTGAGCTGCTGCCAAGAGAACCCGAGTTGCAGGCACAGGACGGAAACTGAGTGAGGCCCAGGGTGTAGCCCCCAATGCTGGCCACCCTAGGTCTCCCTTGACCCTCCCCTTCCCTGTCATTGGCCAACGGGCCCTAGCAGCTCTGACCAGTGTCTCCTTTGATCCATAAAAATCAACCAAAACCGAACCGAAGTCTGGGCCATGGAGTCCACTGACTCACAGCAACTACAAGGTGAGGCCCCTCCCCGGACGGGGACTCTTCCTGTATGGAAGGAGGCAGCCTCGTCTTTCCCCGGCGAGCGGCTGGTGGTTCAGAACCTCCGACCTCTCAGTCAGCAGCCCCGTGCGTCACCTCCCTGCCACCCTGGCTCTGAACAAAGACAAGACAGACATGCCTTCTCCTGGCAGCCACGTGGCCAGCTGCCCAGGTCTGGAGGAGAACTACGTTTGAGGGAGCAGACGTGGAGGGGAACTCCTGGTGGGGGGCTGGAGGGTCAGGAGCACTGGCCCAGGAAGGAGTCTGTCTGACCCCCCACTCCCTGCCATTCATCTCTCCTCACCAGGAGCCTCCCCACCCTCCC